TTTTCCGCGAGTATCCTAGGATTTATTTCGCGAGTAAGTTACGGTTTGTTCCGAGGTTTCTGGGAGAGCAAGTTTTATTTTTCCGAAAGGTTCTCGGAAAACGTCTTTTGCTTAACGCGTGAGATTTATCCAACTCGGAAATAAGAAAAACACTATGAGGTTTGATAGATTTTATCGTTGCCCTTAGTGATCTGAGACAGAAATCGTGAGCTTTTTTCGTTGCTCTTCCCGTGGCGAAGAGTCGCGATTAGGTTTTCGATTTTGTTGAGTACTACAGCATTTGCGTGAGCGTTGGCCGTACGAGTAGTCGCTGCTGGAGTTGTTTTACCAGCGTCTTTTTGCGAGTTGCGACTTTGTCTTTCATACATCCAGACATCGTTTTGGTCAAGCGTTTTGCGGCTATGAGTAAGAGTAATCCGACCCCCCCCCCCTTCTTCTAGCGCCAAACTGTGGGAACCGAAATTCACACCTGTCGATTTCTGTAAAATAAGGAAAGTTAGGAAAACCCTTATTTTCCAGAGGAACCGGATCTCTGCGAAAGCCAACGACAAGTAACCAAGAACGCGATTAATATGAATAAATTGAAAGATATTAAAAGAAAAACGAGACTGAGAGCAAGAAGGATTCTTATTCCGAATTCGCGTAAGAACGGTTACAACGAGAGTTGCCTTAGCTGCGTGAGCCGTCGGCGAAATTCCTAGTTCTAGCAATCTAAGACTAAAACCCTAGTTGAGACGCAGCTCGATAACGAAAACGGAAAATTGCCTAAATGCTAAGTTTGGTGGTGAAAGCTCTGAAAAACCGTCCCTCAGCTTCTGCCCTATGCCTCCTCCTTATATACTCCTCCTTAGGCGGTTTTAGTCTTTCCATTTTGCTCGAAACCGAATATTTTGGGAACTTTCCATATCTGTCGATCCTTCCTTTTCTTCTGCGGAAATCTTCTATTTATCTTCAAACTTGCCATTTATCTTCCGTCTGCGAGTAGACCGTCAAAGCATTATCGTATCTTCGGGTTTGATTTCATTAACGTCGCAAGATGGGTTTTTATCGTGTTTTAGGACCTTTCGGGTCGTTTTACGATAAAAACCATTTTACGACTTTACCGTTTCCTGATCCGATGCCGTTTTTTTACGATTCTCTCGACGTTTTTTATTAAAAACGCGTTTTTTATAATCTTAATGAAGAATCTCGGATAAATCGTATAGTTTAGGCGATGTTTGGTGTTTTGATTAACCATTACCGTTTTATACGATTTCTTCGAGTTCTTTTCGGGAAAACAGAGTTTTACGGTTTTTATCGTAAAACTCGAACAATAGGACGGGTCGAGATGAAACAGGAGATATTTCGACCGTGATTCGGAACACGATCGTGTCGAAGGACGTATGCCTTGAATCAAGGATGTGGGAGATCGAGGCTCGGGATGGTCAGCTCGACGTACGGCGAGCTAGTTCAGCTTGGCTAGGTCGCCATATGGCGAACTAGGCGAAAAGAACCAGTGGGGCAAAGTCAGCATCTCTTAGTTCGCCCAATGGCGATCTAGCCGGGACGGGACTAGTTCGCCTGTGGGCGAACTAGTCGGGACGGGACTAGTTCACCCACTGGCGAACTAAGCCGAGCTGGCTTAGTTCACCCGTGGGCGAACTAGTCGGGACGGGACTAGTTCGCCCACCGGCGAACTAAGCCAGGCTGGCTTAGTTCGCCGGTGGGCGAACTAGTCGAGATGGACTAGTTCGCCGGTGGGCGAACTAGTCATGGGCCTCCTAGTTCGCCGGTGGGCGAACTAGTCCCGTCCCGAACTAGTCCCGAACCAGCTTGGCTTAGTTCGCCGGTGGGCGAACTAGTTGCGACTAGTTCGCCGGTGGGCGAACTAGTTGCGACTAGTTCGCGTTTTACGGCTGTTTTGGTTTTTCGCGGTTTTGTAAAAAGATCTTCGAGTTTTATAAAACGATCTTTGAGTTTTATAAAACGGCTTCTCGAGTTTTATAAAACGATCCTCGAGTTTTATAAAACGGCTTCTCGAGTTTTATAATATGATCTTCGAGTTTTATAAAACGGCTTCTCGAGTTTCATAAAAAGATCTTCGAGTTTTATAAAACGATCTTCGAGTTTTATAAAACGGCTTCTCGAGTTTTATAAAATGATCTTCAAGTTTTATAAAACAGCTTCTCGAGTTTTATAAAACGGCTTCTCGAGTTTTATAAAACGATCCTCGAGTTTTATAAAACGATCTTCGAGTTTTATAAAACGGCTTCTCGAGTTTTATAAAATGATCCTCGGCATTTATAAAAGGATTCTCGAGTTTTATAAAACGATCCTCGAGTTTTATAAAACGATTCTCGAGTTTTATAAAACGATCCTCGGGTTTTATAAAACGATTCTCGAGTTTTATAAAACGGTCCTCGATTTTTATAAAACGATCCTCGAGTTTTATAAAATGATTCTTTTTATATTTCTGTGGGGAGTTTTGGCCGTTGATTCCGTCGTACCGATTCCCAACAGTTGGAATCGAGCATCTCACCGCGAACAATTTCTAAGTTGCCCGGAAGTGCTGACCAAAAATTTGGATTTCTTTTATAGCGCTATTACCCTTGTGTCGGTGTTCGAGAGAATTTAGGCAGGGGTATCAAAGCAAAGCTACCTCCCGTGTGATTGCAGCTGTGTATCGTTCAAAGTTTGGTGATACAGGAAAAGGTCCTGTTCCGAGAGATTTGCAGAAGCTGGTTCTAGAGGATCTTCGTGTACCTGCTTCTTATATGAAATGCTATAGGGCAAAAGATAAGGCTTTAATCGACATTAATGGTACTGAAGAAGAATCTTATTTGAAACTGCCTCAGTATTTGCACATGCTAAAAATGGCCAATCCTGGGACAGTAGCTGACATTGAAACAGAGGTAGATGATGATGGTGATGAGAGGTTCCTTTATCTGTTTCTTGCGTTTGGTGCATCTATTAGTGGCTTCAAGCAGCTTTGACTGGTGCTGGTTGTGGATGGAACACATTTAGGAGGAAAGTACAAAGGGGTTTTACTGACTGCTAGTGGACAAGATGCTAATTTCCAGATTTTTCCACTAGCTTATGCAGTCGTGGACAGTGAGGATGAAGAGTCGTGGACTTGGTTTTTGATGAAGTTGGAGAGGATCTTAGGTGATTCGCCAAGGCTTGCAATCATATCTGACCGTGCAGCATGCATTGCAACAGCTGTGAAACGTGTTTATCCATCTGCTAATCACGGTTATTGCATTGTTCATTTGGCGCGAAACGTGAACTCTCGTTACTCTAGCAAGAACTTGGCGAAAATGGTTACAGCTACTGCAATGGCTTACCGTCATCGAGAGTACACGGAAAGGTACAGCAAAGTTAGGTCTCAGAGAAGTGAGTGTGGAGTGTATTTGGGTAAGATTGGTGTTGCTCATTGGACAAGAGTAAACTTCCCCGGAGACAGGTATAACATCATGACTAGTAACATAGCAGAACAGCTGAATCATGCTCTTGTGGAGGGGAGAACGTCACCTATTATGGAGTTGGTTAAATTCATTCAAAGGATGATGACAAGGTGGTTCAGTGCAAGGAGGAAGAAGTCATCGAAACACAGGGGTATGGTTAGTGTGGAGGTGGACAAGACGATGACAAAGAACATGGCAACAATGAAGGGGAGTAAAGTGAATTCTTCAACGGAGTGGAGTTGTGAGATAATAGGGAAATTTGGAGGAAAAGAACGTGTGCATCTAGCGAAAAAGCAGTGTGACTGCAAGTATTTTGATAAAATAAAAATACCATGTGGACACGCTATGATGGCTGCGGACAGTTTAGGAGTGCCTTATGAGACTCTTGTGGGTCACTGCTACAAGACATCGACATGGAGGGAGACATATGCTGGGATAATAAGTCCAGAAGGAGATCCTCGTGATGTGGAAATGCCGGAGGGGATAAAGAAGATGGTGTTGTACCCTCCTGTGACAAAGAGACAACCGGGTCGGCGTAGGAGAAACAGGATTCTATCTACAGGAGAATTTCCGGTTAGATGAATATGGTTACTCTTATTCCTATTTTAATGTTTGTAAACCATAATTTACGTTTGAATATGGTGATTTACCTAACACATGTGTTGTGTTCAGGTGACAAAGAAGACTAAGGTGGCACCAAACAAGTGTGGTAGGTGTCGTATTGAAGGGCACAACAGGACCAACTGCACAAACCCAATTTAAAAGCAGGATGGATGGTTGGTGTGGTGAAGTTAGTTTTTTGGGTTGGGAGAGTAAACGGAGTGGATGATAAACATCGAAACTTTTTTTGTGTGTTTGAAAGTTGGAACTTTCATCTTTAAAGGACTATTTTTTTGGAACTTTCATCTTTAGGGAGGAAGGTTGTTCAGGTTTAGTAATTGGCGATGAGTTGTTGAATGTTTATTTTAACAATGAATGTGTTTGAATGATTGACTTTGTCTGAAATGTATTTTACATCTAATCATTATGTAATTTGATTGGGAGTGTTTTTTGATTGGTGAAAGCATTTACAAAGTCTTGCTTTGTTGAATGACTCCATGAGTAATTCCAAAGAAGATGAGTGGTGTATTGTGAAAGCAATTACAAAACACATGTTTGGTTGAATGACTGCATAAGTCATGGATTTGTGGATGGTGATCCAGAAGTTGATAAAATACTTGAGAGATGGACTTGTCTTACAAAGGAGCTCGTGGAAGTTCACTTAAAAAGTTGAGAGTTGGACTTGTGGATAGTAATTTCAAAGAACTTCCCTTACAAAGGTCGTCACCTTCGATGTCAATAAACTTGAGACAAGAGACTAACAAAGCCAAACTCCATTGGGTTACATAATATCAAGAATCAATGCCAAGATCCAAGAGTAGTCGAGTACAGTCCAAAAACTTAAGCCAAATAACTCCAAATAGGTTGTAGATAATATCAGAAGTTGGAGATACAATATAAGGATAGATGAGAGTAAGATTTCCAACACAATTGCCTCAAAACGAAGGAGTTAATTAATTAACGTAGCTTCCAAAAGAGGTAAGACATAGCTCCGCAAATGGCCACAAATGCTGCAGTCTTGATGCGGGTGGCGAGCTCTGCATCAAATTGTTCAGTCATCTTCTTAGTCGCCTCGTCGATGGTTGTAGTCATCTGCAACATTTCTTTCTTGAGCTGTTCATCACGACTTTCAATCCAGTTTCTCTGTGAATCGAGCTGAGCTTGTGTGTTGATGGTAAATGCTTGGAAGTCTCTAAGTAGATCCATGCGCTTCGCGTCTACAATTCGTATCTCGTCATGAAGGGCTTCTTCAATCCATTTGAAGAGATGACTCTCTGTTTTGTTCTGTTCATGAAGTAAAAAGATTTGGGGGTTTTTTTACAATATTAATCTATATGCAGAGAAGGTAATACAAATTTCAATTGGTGAGAGTAGACAAACCTGTAGCGCAATTCGGCATCTGTAGAATCTGCGACCAGGATTCTCCTTTGTGTCTGAGACCCAGGTATCGAGGGGTTGGCCACACCAACATTTGGTTGGAATACCGTAGACGTGCCGGCGGGCACCTTGACGGGAGGAGGAGGAAGAACTGCTCATCGTTAGGTCGATTTTGAAAATCGTTGACAGTGAGAGTAAAATCGATTTTGAGACTTCGAAATTGGGAACCCTAATTGTAGATTGGGAGAACGTGTATCAATCGGCATTCTTTTATAAAAGGTATGGAGGTGGTATGAATTGGTATTTTTTTTATTGGTATTTCCGGTTATTAGGAAACCGGAATGAAATTGTGGTCAGGACCCTATGGACATATGATGTGTAAAGGGTGTACATATGAGTCTCTGTCCACATTGTTATTCGGACAGCAGAATGAAATTGTGGTCAGCACTCCATCCACGTCGGGCTTGTACGGTTATCCACATGGATATGTCTGTCCACATGTCCGGTATTTGGTTTTTATTTGGTTATAATTGGATAACCGGAATCTGTTTTGTATTTGGTTAGAAATGTGTCTGTCCACAACTAGGCCCAAACCGGTTTGTGGGACACCAGAATGAAATTGTGGTCAGCGCTCTATCCACGTCGGGCTTGTAGGGTTATCCACATGGATATGTCTGTCCACATGTCTGGTATTTGGTTTGTATTTGGTTATAATTGGAATCGGTATTTGGTTTGTATTTGGTTAGAAATGTGTCTGTCCACAGCTAAACCTTTAGTATATATGATTCCTAAGTTACAAAGCATAGTCTGTCCACAAATAATATGTCGTGGTTGTTGTTATTCGAACTCATTTGGTAATTGACAAGATTCACCATTTAAATGTGATTAACTTGGAAATAATCTTTTCAAAACAAAGATGATAGTAGATAGGGAAGGAGTTACATAAGTTTCAGATATTGGATAGATAGGAGATAGTGGACCAGAAAAGTAGTACATAAGTAAGTTTAACATGGTTAGGAGGGGTCCGACACCCTATAAACACACAAAAAAACTCCTAAAACACATAAATTAGTCTGCCTGGATTTTAAAGATGAGAAGAAAGATGAGAAGATAGAAGTTGCAACTTCCATTCAAATGAAGAAAGAGCGTTGAGAGTAGTACGAGGGCATGACGATGGTCTTATATATATCAAGTGCATACTGCTTACGGAAGGCGTCGACTGTGCTTTCTGTGAAGGTGGACATGTGAGGTTCGGGATCGCCGTGTGCGTGCATTTCCATGAACTTGACAGAAACTGGGCCGCAGTCACCTCCTCTTTCGTTGATGTACAAGTCTGAAACACGAGACCATCCAAAAGGTTGAAGACCACGGAACTGAGTAAGGTCGTAATTTGCCACCTTCTTCACGAGATAGGGTAATGCCTTCAGAATGGGTGCCATGAAACGACCGACAGAGCTGTCTCTGTAAAGCGTGGGTAGCGGGTCTAGGATTTCAACAAAACCCAAGTCAAGGTTGATAGCCAAACCAACCCAGTGTTTATTGCCCCATAACATTGGAGTGTAGACCGTGACCACATCTGCCATCCATTTCCTTCCTGGATGGAGGACAATTTCATTGAGCGGTTCCCCCCAGTCGAAACTTCCTTTCCTACTTGAAGCATTGAATGACTTGGTCTTGAGCTTGATTCCAAATGTAAGAGAAGGGGGAGTGAAGGACAACTTCTGTTGCTGAAATAGACGGCTATGCCTTTCAGCTAGCATGTACATGAGTATATCCATGTGCTGCATTTTTAAATGACCATAGTGAGAAAACGCAAAAAAGAAAAAACAGACAGAACAAGTAATTGGGTGGTGGTGAAGGATAAGCGTACATAAGCTGATGTCCAGTGCTTAGGTTGGGCTAGTTGGAGGAGGAAGTTGTTGGTAAACTCAAAATGTGAAGGTGTTATGTGAAACCTGCAAGAAAAATATTTGTAAGTTAATCTAGACAAATTCTTAGATTGTGCTAGTTGGTTCAAGAGTTTGTTTTTATTTGGACTTACACATCCTTCTTGTTGGCAATTATTCTTTGGAAAATATCCCATTGGATTTGAGGTAGTGGGGTGATAAGGTCAACTGCTGGAATAGTGTTCACGCGGTTAAGTTCATGAGCAAGTTGGTTCTCCTCCCGTGACGGAACATGTCTTGAACGCGGTCTGTCGGGAGATCCTTCACTAAGTTCGACGATGTCGCTGTCCTCCTTTTCTGACGGAACAAGTATTGTTGGAGGTCTCTCGGGGGAGCCTTCATTTTGGCTCAATCCCACAAAGCCATCATTGGGAGCCTATTAAGAAAGAACAAGAGATTGAAATTATAAACTCAACAAAGGAGAGTTTAGCACACAGCATATGGGTGATAACCACAGTAAAATGTGTGTTGACCTGGATGTTGGTTACTAAAGCTTTGGATGTAGCGGTTGCTGAGAATGCGTTGAGTGTTCGCGCATGACCTATGAAACCAGAAAGACTACCTTCGCTTTTGTTGGGAGACGTGTCAGGGGTGAAAGGGAGTTGACATTGCGAGGCTTGGTTTGTTGAAGTGTCGTATTTTGGCTGTCCAATAGAAGGAGGATCAGGGCTGATGGGGTCAAATATCTCTAAACCATGGGACAGAATGTGGTGGGTTGGTGGACTGTTAGGGTGAGCGCTAGAGTCGTATATCACAGAACGTGTGCGCATGTTAGGGGGAGAAGTGGGACTTGGGTGGATGGGTGTATGTAAAGGTGTGTTGTGGACGGGAGAAAGGTGGTGGTTTGTGTTAGGGGGAGAAGTGGGATTTGGGTGGATAGGTGAATCTTTGTGGATGGAAGAGGGAATGTGTGATGGGGATGTGTGGACAGGTGAGTGTGCGGGATGTTGAGGACCGATATGAGAGGTTACAGGGGCTATATCATTGGTAGGTGAAGTTGTGGATGTTGAGCCGTAGAAATGTACACGATATTGGCTGACAACAGGGGACTTGATAAGCTGGTCCTCTTCCTCCATAGGGACGGAGCCCTATGATAAGTAAAGGGAAGCAATGAGATATAGCCGAGAAACAAATATTTTGGTATTTTCCAATTAAAAGGATGAATTCAGAAGTCTATGCAAAACTAAAAACGTACCGTCTTCTTAGGAGATGTTGCATCTAGAAAATCGGTTTGACACCCCTTGTCAGAAGTTTGGTCTTGGGCTTCGGCTTCAGTCTGAATTCCTCTATGGGATTGTTGTCCTTTCTTTGTACGGCCAATGAGAGTGTGGAAGGCAGAGGTCTTGGTGGTAGAATGCTTCTTCCTACGGACCTGCTTTGACGTCTACTTTAGCAAAAAACGGACCTGCTTTGACGTCTGCTTTGACTCTTTCTGAAGGCTGGAGACTATGCCTAATACTTCAGAAAGCAATTCCATTACTTTGTCATCCCTGGCTGAAACAGCTCGAGGAAAATAGTTGCTGATTCGTCTCTGGTTACGGGATTTGGAAACCTTCCTTGCAGAGTGACTTGGTTGAGTCGCTTTGCATGAAGTTGGTTTGGCCTTGAGGCACTTCTTGGGGATGACAGGAGGGACAACAAGTGGTGAGATAGAGAAGAGGGGCTGAGATGTGTCTCCTCCATGCCACATATGCTTATGAAAAATCTGATGTCCAATAAGCTGCTCCATGTATAACACCCGTTCATCGTTGCAAACATCTGGCCAAACTCCCCATCCAGGCTGTGGTTGACTCTGTATTGGTATTAACGATGTAACAGGAAGCTGCATAAATAGACAATCGGGTGGTTAATGATCAGCTTCATGACAAATATGGAAAAATCAATATGTACATTAAATGGGATAAAGACTTGTGAATTTACATGTGGTTCAGCTTCAATGCGTAGTATGTCATTCCGGGATGGCGCTGGGTAATCAGGAAGATGATCAGAGTCAAGTTCCATGATTGATTGGGGCTCAACAGGGATTGGGATCGTTGACTGCAGTTTTGGAATAGCTTGATAGGCAAGTAGTTGTAGTGCAAGGGGGAATCCCTGAAGCCGGAAAGTTTCCTGCTTTAACATATCAACGAGTGCTGCGATAGGGTCTTCACATTTTCCAGGGACATAATTGGGAGGCTTCATGCAGGTAATTGTCTTCAGAAAAGACTCTCTTCCCCAAGGGTGTGAGCAGAAAGCATCTACATCTTGTACCATCTTGACATATTTCAGAGTTGCCCGTGACTTTTGTTGATGTGCAATGAGGACACCATCTACGATAATAATCAAAGCTAGGCGAAGCTTCTTCCAGGCTGGCATGTTTGTATCAGTCTCGAGCTTGGTCATTAACTGAGCAATTGTGATGAATTTCTTCTTGCCTATCAACTTGATCCAGTCTGGGTCTTGTGCTGCTTTACTCTGCTCTTCCCAATCGGGGTTGTAACCCACAGGGAAGGCTCCACACGGTAATCCTGTGATGGTGCCAAACTCTTGAAGGCCGAACCTAATAGGATCCCTTCTGAAAACAGACCATAGAGTGTGTTTGTCTTCACAAACCAGTTGTCTTGACAGTAAGGCGTGTATTAACTGGCAGGAAACAGGACGCTGAATAGCTGGGAGGTCAAACAACTTGCCAAAGCAAGAGTCCTTGATATACTGGAACTCATCGGTGTCACGTAGCACATAACTGAGAGATGCTAGAAGAACAGGCTTGGAGTATATGTTAACTCGTCCCTTGGGAAACCTGTCTGTGGCGAAGAGTCTAGGGGGGAGTCGAAGGTCAGGAAGGTGGCTTGCTGTAACCTCCTCAAAATAATCCTTCCCTAAACACAAAGGGAATAACAAAATGGGGAAGTTAAAAAACAGATAATGAAGACGAGATATAAAAAGTGGCAGAAATCGGAACTTGAATCCATACAAAATCACAACTTGCATGTCTACAAAAACTGAGACAAAATCGAAGATGTAAAGAGAGAAAATGAGATCGGAAAATTTGGAGATAGATTTGTCTATAAAAGTGAAAATTCTAAAGACATGAACATACACTAAGACACACGATTGAAGAAAGAATCTTGAAGTAAACTATACAGCGGCTCAAAAAAATAGAGAAGGAGAGAGAGAGAGCGAGAGAGAACGCAGAGAAAAGAGAAGAATACTCAGACCTTGCATGACTCGTATGCTTGCGATCGGTTAGTTTGTGTAGGAGTTAATTAACGGTGGTGATGAACTTCGATAGATCTAGAATGGCGAAGGAACTGAAAATCGCCTTCAAAATCGCCGTTTGGGAGAGGAGGCGTGTTTCAGGGCCAAAATTAGGGTTGAAAGAAGGGGAGTAGAGGTAACCGGTTTGCTTTAGTGTTCCGACTGGTTTAGTTGGTTTGGTTTAACAATGAATCACTGATTTCTTAAGATAAGGGTATAAGTGTCAAACACAAGAGAGGAAGTACACCACAAGTAAGAAGTGTCCCAACAAGTAATTAAAAAGACAAAAAGTGTCCCAACATGTAAAAAATTCATAATATAAAAAGAAGAGTAAAGAATTATGATTAGAATTAACAGTGAGCCAGGCACACTTGTAACTTGTGCTATATAAAATGACTCCGTGTTAAATTGTGGCTAGTACATTTACACTAATTTCGAGTTTGAAAAGCATAGTGAGGTTAGGAAATAAGGCACTGACATTAATGGAAGGACAACGTCTCCACACTAACATATAATCAAAATTTCTAGATCCAATGTATATTAAATTAAGTTAAAGTTGCTTTCAAGTCAAACTTCGGATTAGATCCACAACACACGGTTAGTTCATGCGGAACATTTGACTTATGGTATGTGATTGGTCGCAAAGCATATAATATATAATGAGCCACTTACCAAGTTGATTTGTGTGAAAATAAAGTATATAATACTATAAAGTATGGAGTTAACCTCTACTATTTTTTTTAACTGATAGGTAACATATAGTATAGTTTTTACGCAATTTATACAAACTTAAAAGATTAGACCAGGAATCAATCACATTTCCTTTTCTCACCCGTTTATCGTTAATCTCCAAAAGTACAACTGACTTACCTAGTCATGGAGGTCTGGCGCACAATTTACATTATATAGTATGGCTCAATAGTTTCAGAGCATAATAATATACTGATAAATAACGTTATCGATACATGCTTAGATTCGTAATCTCTAAAACGTCATAATGTTCTATCCCTTGACACTTGGCCTATGGCTAGAAGTGTGTACATTCAAAATAGATTCGAGTTGTCAAAAAAGACATACCAGATACACTGGGAATACTTTAAAAAATAATTGTAATGCGTGTTAACGTCACATCAAATCATATATTAGTATATATATCAGTAATTTTCAAATTCGACGGTAAAACCACTACAGATTTGCAATAAGTATATACAATTTCTAATTCATTTTTGGTTCTTCGTGCCTAAAGATTTGCAATAAATATATAGTAAGAGCACCCCCATCAGGGGTTCAGATGGGGGTTCACACGATTTTCAAAAAAAAAAAATATTAAAATAAGGAATAGTTATGAATCTGCCTCTTGCAGATTAATTCGACGATACATTGTCCACAATTATGATTATTTCATGCAAGTCTCAGGTTTATTATTACGTGCCGATACCTCGTAAAATATACATGATTAATTCGACGAGAATTACCCTGCTCAAACCAGGATCCGAGCTGGATGCCAAGCCAGCCAGGGCATCTGCTTGGGCATTCTCGGCTCGAGGGATCCTAGTAAGGACGAATTGATCGAACTTTTGAGTGAGATCCCTGACTAAGGTTAGAGACGCCTCCATCCTCTCGTCCCTTGCCTCGTATTCTCCGCTAAGCTGGCTAGCTACTAATTGGGAATCGCAGTAAGTGTGGAGATTGCGAATCTTTAGAGCGTGAGCTAGTCGAAATCCTGCAATCAAAGCATCATACTCTGCTTCGTTGTTTGTAGCGTGGAAAATCAATCGAAACGATTGCTCTAATATTTTTCCGTCGGGGATGCGAGTCGGACGCCGATTCCAGAGCCTTGTTTGGACGAGGATCCGTCTACGTATAGGATCCAAGTCAAATTCGGCTCCTGATCCGGTATGCCACCCTTCGGGATTTCTACTATAAAATCTGCGAGCACTTGCGATTTCGCACAAGTTTTTGCACGATATTCAGTGTCGTACTCGCTTAGTTCGATTGCCCATTTTGATAATTTTCCCGATTGGCTGGGACTATGCAGAATTGTGCGGAGAGGGAAAGAAGTGGGCACGACGATAGTATGGGACTGGAAGTACAGTCCCAGTTTCCTTGCCGACATGACTACGGCTAGCGCCAATTTTTCCATCATCGGGTATCGGGTTTCCGCGTCCAGTAGCGTCTTACTTACGTAAAGGATCGGCCTTTGCTCGCCGCGTTCTTCTCGGATGAGGACACCGCTTACGGCGGTTGTTGATACCGCGATGTAGAGAAATAGTGGTTCTCCTTCTACGGGTTTTGCGAGTACTGGCGGGGTAGCTAGGTAATGCTTTAGCTATTGGAAAGCTTTTTCGCATTCCTCTGACCATTCGAACTTTTTGTTTCCCTTTAATGTTTCGTAGAAAGGAAGACATTTATCCGTTGACCGCGAGATAAAGCGGTTAAGTGCTGCGACCCTGCCGGTCAGTCTTTGTACTTCGCGTTTTGTCCTAGGGGACACCATTTCTACCAATGCCGTGATTTGTTTCGGGTTGGCCTCAATCCCTCGGTAAGTGACGAGATATCCTAGAAATTCTCCGGATGCGACGGCAAACCGACACATCGCGGGATTCAACTTCTTGTTATGAAGGTTGAGCCTCTCGAAACATTCTTGGAGGTGCACGACATGATTTCGCTCTTCGAGTGATTTTACGAACATATCATCGATGTACACTTCCATCGTTTATCCGAGTTGTTCGGCGAACATGCGATTGACGAGTCGTTGATAAGTCGCGCCGGCATTCTTAAGGCCGAAGAGCATTACCTTGTAGCAGTAGGTTCCGCGATCAGCTATGAACGCGGTTTTCTCCCGATCGTCAGGACTCATCATGATCTGATTGTACCCTGAAAAAGTGTCCATGAAAGATATGAGTTTGTTCCATGCGGTTGCCTCGACTAGGCGATCGATGTGTGGCAGCGGATAACTATCTTTAGGACATGCTTTATTGAGATCAGTGAAGTCGACGCAAACTCGCCACTTTCCGTTCTTTTTCTTAACGACGACAAGATTATCGAGCCAATCAAGATATCGGACTTCTGTGATCGATCCGACTTTGAGGAGTCTGTCAACTTCGTTGTTGACCGCCTCGGCGCGTTCTGGCCCCAGTTTCCATCTTTTTTGTTTGATGGGTTTAGATGTCGGGTCAACATTGAGTTCGTGACAAGTGATGTTATGGTCGATTCCTGGTATATCTTCCGCAGTCCATGCAAACGTGTTTGAGTTTCGTTTCAGACACGTCAGGAATTCGGCTTTTAAGGTCTCGCTCAGGTTCGCTCTGATTTCGACGCAGCGTTCTGGGAAAGCCTCATCGATGCATACTGAGATAACCGGTTCGCAGGTCGGCTCGCGTTTACCTTCCAATGCCTCGGCTACTCGCAACTGCCAGAATATTTCCATTATATCTTGCTCTGGGGCGTTATCAAGGGCAGATGATTTCTTTTTCTTTTTGGAAGAAGCGTCAGTCGGCAGATTTTTCAGTTTTAAATTTGCGGCATAGCAAACCTGCGAGGTTCTCCGATTTCCCCATATAGTCTTGATTCCGCACGGATTCGGAAACT